ATGAAAAAGGGATTAAGCCTTGAATGTTGATATGTATAGTGTAGCAGAAGATTTGAAAAAAGCATACACACGAGTTTGTTTCTGGAGCTTGAAAGAAAAATCTTATAATACTTTAAGATTTGACAGTATCTATTTGGCACAATTGAAATTTCAATTCCAGAAATTTGCTGAACACAATCTCTAATATATCCTTCCATCTCTTCCCACAGGTAACTCCCAAGACTTTTCCTTTACCCCTTTAAATACTTGAGTTGCATAAATACTCAGAGTCGAAACTTGTAAGTCACGACACCCAAAGCTGGTAGAATGGGAGGATGCAAGGTAAAATCTCTTTCAAAATTGTTGTGCTAATCACGAGTCCTCATTGCCTGTAAACCAGAAACTATAACTAAAAAACCAGAAACAAAACAAAAAAGAAAAACACATACGGTCGAAAATAATCAAGAGACCGGTAAACAAAAGAATACACAATGGATGATCAAATTACCATCCTCGTGGGTTGCCATTGCAGTTGGCTGTGCCTTTACGCTCATCTTCTTTGCGGACTCGGCTGTAATTGGTCCAACCATATGTCAATAAACTCAAAGGGGATAAAAAAAAAAAGATGCAATAAAACAACATGATAGAAATTGTATAACTGTACAAGAAATAGTACGCTAAAAATCCAATTAAAATTCAAAGCTAATGCATGAAACAGGGCCTTGGGTTACTTCTTACAACCAAAGTTTACTGATGAAACTGGTTGTGGATGTTAGTAGAGCAAACACGTATTTTCTGCTCTAGTTTACAGTTTTAACAGAAACTCTAGCAAACTATAGCAACTGCCTTGACAGATAAACTCAGTTTGCAACTAGTTGCTTTCCATATTTAATGACTAAGGGAAAATGTAAATTATGAAACTTTTTTCAATGACCCCAAATTTAAAAGAAAACTTAAAATAGAAACTTTTATTTTTGAAAATATCATTGAACTTTTATGCGTATCCTCCATAAAAACAATAAGTTGGATATTTAACCTTTAAATTTCCGTTTCTTGTTAGCCCTTCTCCTCTTCCTCTCTTCTTTTGTTAGCTCTGTTTCTTCTTTAATGTCTCCTTTACCAGAAAACACTTCTTCAGGGGCAAGCATAGCTGCATCAGACACTGCTAGAGGCGCAATCTTAAAAACAAAAAACAAAAAACAAAAAACAAAAAACAAAAAAAAAACATGTTAACCATATTATATGTATGCGTGTATATGTTGTGTTAATGCAAGTATGCAACTGATATTCGATAAGCTACAATAGTTACCTCTTCCATGGCTAGAGCAGGAACATTCGCTTGTATGGACATATCCTCGATTACCTATTCAAGTTGTAAAAAAAAATCTGGTTAGATGCTCAAGAATTCGATAAATTATGGAATTAATCCAAGAAAGCATTACCGGTTTTGGAGTGAAGTGGAAATGGGAAAGTGCATTGAACTTTAGGCATAATTTCTTAAATAGCACACTTGCCTGGGGATGCAAAAAAGACAGGGGTCATCACATAACAAGCTTAACTTGTTTATACTATACTAAATCTAGTGAGAAAAATTACGAAAATAGCTACCCTATGGACAGAGAAAGGACCATCAAAGGTAAGCTTTTACACCACAATTTTCTGAAAGCCTTACATTGAATTCAGTATAATAGATACAAAATGTTAGAATAGCATAATCACCACAAAACATAAATATAAGTTGTGCGCTCACTTCTTTCTTTTGCTCATCAGAGAAAGATAATGCAGCTGATACGAGACCAGTCTTTTGAGCATATTCATCCTGCAATAGAATTATGGGAGTGTTATGAAGTCAGTAAAAGATGAATGATCATATAACTCGTCCAATGCAAGAAACAAATAATAACATCACTTGAGAATAATTATAAACCTTAGCATACAAGAAAACATCACCTCATAAAGTTCAGCAAGGCCCTTCTTGCTCTTATTCTCATCCTGCACATATCAAAGTTGATTCAATAAGGACAAAACTAACTGGAGGATCAAAGGAGAAATACTAGATAAATTATTACCAACTCTATTTTCTCTCTTGGTGCCTTTGCCATTAATGCAGGTGGCTTCTGAACATCATCAAATCGGCCCTACAGATGGTACCACATGAACTGTTTATTCACTTCAAACAATGAAACACAAAGCTACATAACATGATGAATCAAGTACAATCATGCATCTTGTAAAATAAATAACAGGACAAGTCGAAGCATTCACAAAAAATAGAAGGTACTGCAGCACTGATGTGACTTCATTGGTCTTATAAAACACACACACCACCTCCCCCATACCAATCAGTCTCACTTTCGAAGGGAAATAGCAGTGAGAATGAGCATTAACACAAATTTTCTAACATATATATTTCATAACCAGTAAATGATTTAGAAGATCAAGATACAGCTAGAGAATATGCTTAAAAATGACAAATGTAAAAAAAAATGAATCTCAAAAGGGGAGAGACTGCAAAAGATATAGTACATTTCTAGAGCATGAGAATTAAAAAACTATGTACACAATTGCCACACGAAGATTGGATATACCTCTAAGATACGTTTCTGAATTAATTCCTCAAGCGATGCAGTAACCTCTTCCGTAATTACAGGAGCAGGTCTCACATTATGCTCAAAATCTAGATCAACTTCCAAAGCACTGTTTTTGGGTCGTTTAGCAGCTGTTACCTGGCATCACAGAAGCAACAAAAATCAAAGACCTACAATCATAAGTGTATTAAGAAAAAAAAGAAAAATTGGTTAATTGAATATCACCTCGCCCTGCATTGTCCATGTCTTTGGTTCCAAGTTTGCTCTTTCCATTTCCTCTATCTGAGTACGAAGTCTTGCTAACTCTTTTTCATGTGTTGAAAGACTCTGTTTTTTCAGTGGAATATTTACGTATTGTAAAAGGGGGATGGGGTGGGGGGGAATAAAAATAATGGTGATAGAGAGTAATAGGAACATTGATGATAAGTGTCACCTCGCCCTGCATATTTAGTCCCAAGTTTGCTTTCTCCATTTCGTCCACCTGAGAACGAAGTTTTGCCAGCTCTTTCTCATTTGCAGAAAGACTTTCCTTGTTCTATAGGTTATTATAAAGAACCCGATCAAAGATGAGTAAGTATGGCAAACAAAGGTTCATGCAGATCATTAGATGGAAGACAAATTAGAGGCCAGACAGCTAAAATTGCATAACAACCTTACTATCATCATCATTGTCCTCAGGTTCATCCATATCCATGTCATCTGATCCAGGAAAATGTTTAGGTTTTCTCTTTTGGTCAGTTTTTTTACGTACAAAAAAGTCTTCATATCTGAATGGGCAAAGAAAAAAAGGAAAAAGATATTGCATCTCTTGGATGTGGAAGTTTATAAAAGCCAAAGAAACAGACAGAACACACATTCAGTCAAATCACTTGCATTAGTTTCTCGCAATGAACTGAATGTGAATAACAATGACTCCCAACTTATCGAGTTCCTTGTCACCATTTTGAAGGGTAACATTCAATGACTTCCTTTCAGCACATTCAGTGACGGTATCATGCCAAATCAATTATACAGTTTACCATATGATGGAAATGGGATTAGTTTCATGCTAACCAAACAACAATGATATTGCAAGTAAATGCACAGACATTGTAGGTACAGTGTAAATGTATAGAAACAGACCTAGCATTTTCCCATTTTTCATCATCAGCATCTTCAAGTCCCATGAGTCCAAGCTGTCATGTCCAAGAAACAAAAAGTACAAATAATATCAGAACATACTGCGTAAACAAGTAACAGTGCCATAAAGCAGAATCAGAAGCAATCTGCCAATCCCCTCAAAATTCACCAATTCATACCTCGTCATCCTCCTCTTCATCATCTTCATGTTCCTCGTCTCCACTTTCCTCTTCATCTTCACTCTCTTCCTCCTCGTCTGCAGTTCTAATATCTCTCTTCCTCTTATTCTTCTCTTCCTTAATTCCATACTCTTGTTCTTCAGCCTCCGCAATAAGTTTCTCCAATTCCTTAATTTTGAAAAACTGATCTTCAACTACATTCTTTCTTTCTCCCTCTCCCTCATCATCTTCCCCATCTTCTTCTTCTTCTTCTTCTTCTTCTTCTTCTTCTTCAACTTCATCTTCATCTTCACCTTCTTCTTCTTCTTCTTCTTCCTCGTCATCATCATTATCATCCAAATCCTCACTTTCACTCTCTACGACCCGTCTTCCTTTTCCTTTATTATCTCCATCCGCAGCCACCTTCTCAACTTTTCCAGCTTTACCCAAATTAAACTGCTTCTCTATTTCTGCAGGATTTTTCTCGAAATTTCTAACATGACGGTGGAGGGAGGTGAGCAACGGCTGCGCCTGAAGATCGATTTGCTGCCATATCTGCTCGGCATCAAACCCTTCAGTCAAGAGGCGAGTAAAAGGAGACTTAGGAGCGTACGGACTGAGAGAGGAAAACAAATATTCTGAGGCTGATCGAGCTGCCTTTGAGAGCTCCAGTGAGGGCGCAAGGTAGACCGGTGACTCCGTGGATTTCAACCGGCCGAGCGCCTCCAGGCCGGCAGTATTTGCTCCGGCGTCGGCTGCTGCAGGCATGGTGGTCGAGGAGGTGGCTTTGGACTCTGGTATCAGGGTTTAGGGTTTAGAATCCGAGTGTTATTATGAAGGGTGGACTGGTGTGCAATATATATGTTGTAAAAGGGCTAAAAGGAAAATCGACGCACATCACCATTAATTATGAAATATAATTTCGCTTAAGGTTGCAAAAATTGAAAAAACAAAAATGTTCATGAACAAATTGCAAAATTTTTATTTTTAAAATACAAAATTGTGTATCACGATGATTAGACATATCAAATTGGACCAGCCGGGTGGGCTACAGGCCCGCCAGAACTCGTCCTTTGGCGAGGCGGGGCAGGCCAGCCCGCCATCTCAGCGGGTATGTAAAATTACAGTACAATTTCCCCATTTTTTTTTTTTTTGGGTTATTTACAGGTACACGAACATATTTCAAGGTTTTTACTTTTTATGAGAAGCTGGAAAGTTTTGCAATTGAACAATAGTTTGTTTACTTTATTGCACATATACGAGTTTTGAAATAGTGTGAAATTATACATTATTCAACTCGCATTGAAAAGAATCTGTAATAAACTAGGGGATAGTGTGAAATTATACATTATTCAACTCGCATTGAAAAGAATCTGTAAGAAACTAGGGGAAAACGGTGCGAATCTGTAAGAAACTAGGGGAAAACGGTGCGGTCCCACTAACATGAAGCGCACCATGAGAGGGAAAAGCCCATATGAAGCCCAAGTGGGGTTCCATCCCAAAACCAATTGGTGGAATGAGGAGTAGTCCATTAGACTTATAAGGTAACACTCACAAGTGATATGGTGGAATGAGGAGTAGTCCATTAGACTTATAAGGTAACACTCACAAGTGATATTCTAACACGCCCCTCACTTGTGAGTCCTTCGGAAGCCCAAGCCCAACTGGGCGCCCCAAGCGGGTACGTGGGGAAGCGCACCATGAGAGGGGAAAAGCCCATATGAAGCCCAAGTGCGGTTCCATCCCAAAACCAATTGGTGGAAGGAGGAGTAGCCCATTAGACTTATAAGGTGGGTCTATTTTCCATGTATGAACGATGTGGGACAACTCACAAGTGATATTCTAACAGAATCAATCACAAAAACTCCTTTCTAAAGTCATAATTTTGCACATTGAAATGCATCATCGACCAAAAGATGAAGAAATTAACATGAAATATAGAAATATACCTTTTAATAACTTAAAATAAACCAAAAATTTAAAAATTTCACATCATATGAACAAGAAATATACCTTCTAATAACTAAAAATAAATTACAAAATAACTAGAAATAAATTGTTAATTTTTTTGTTATATTTACATAAACTTAAAAATTATTATAATAAACAAAAAATAAACTAATCCACTACAGATAAACTCACATGAAAGGAGCTTCAGATCGACCCCAACCTCTTCCTTTTGATTCTATATTTTTCTTTATTAAATCATCATTTTTGGATCATTGATACGTTGTTCTTCAGATGTCTGGATTTTCAACTGAACAAATGTATTTTGAAAAAAAAAAAAAAATGTAATTGATTATTACATACAAATATAATTGACTATTACATGCCTACAAATGAGGGCCCTTCTTAATTAATTATTATTATTATTTATATTTATGTCGTTACCAATTGCATTTTAAGTTCATGGAGTTATAACTTATAATTACTTTTAGCAGTTGTTTGGTAGTCTGTATATGCCCATGATGTCATCATATCTGGTCATTGTTGCTTGTTAAATAATTTATTGTGGGGATATATCTGTTAATTATTTAGGTCTATGTATATGATCTTTATATTTAATATAAATATATCCTTAAAAGAACCCATATATGATAGCAATATTTCCTCATATAGCATATAATTTTTTTGTCCTGTCAGTAATCTCACATCAAATAGAACTAAGTGTTGATGCAAAATCAAATGTTACGTCGACGTCGCTATTTATGCTATTCACAACATGCAATCCACTTAAGAAA